TTTGGTTCATGGTATTGTGCGGTTGTTGTTGTTTTAATCTCCGCTTCCGTTTATCCTCTACCCTTAATTTTTGTATATCTCATTTTTTTAAGTTAATATTTATTTCACGATAATTTCAAAAGAATGGATGTTAAATGACACTGTTTTCTAAAAGAGTTTCACACCGTGGCGAGGCACGGGTATGCAGCTCGTGAATATATATATATATATATATATATATATATATATATATATATATATATATATATATATATATATATATATATATATATATATATATATATATATATATATATATATAATCAGCTCCCCAAAGTTTCATAGCACTCGGATGAACGGTGTCAGACCGCATTCGACTTTTATTTTTTATATACGGTATATAGAGAAAAATCGCACCCTGCCGTGGCGCCGCCCTTGCTAAAATAAATTTTTTTTTTTTTTTACAGAACCCTTCCCTCGAGTGTTCTTATCAACTCCCCAAAGTTTTATGGCTATCTGATGAACAGTGTGAAATCGCAATCGAATTTTATTTTTTATATACCGTTATAAAGATATAACAAATCGCGCCCTTCCGGGGCGCCACTCCTGCGAATTTGAAATTGTTCTTTGCGCAGAAACCTCCCCAGGAGTATTCTCAACATATTCCTAAAGTTTGATGGCGATCGTATGAACGGTGTCACTGCGATTCACTTTTATTATTTTTATATACCGTATGTAGAGAAAAATCGCACACTTCCGTGGAGCCGCCCTTGCGAAATTAAAAAAGATTATTTTGCAGAACCCTTCCCTGCCGGGGCGCCACTCCTGCGAATTCGAAATATTGTTTTTCGCAGAAACCTCCCCAGGAGTATGCTCAATAACATCTCAAAGTTTATTGCGATCGGATAAAAGGTTTAGTAATGCATAAAAGACAGACAAACACACATACATTGCTTTATATATATATATATATATATATATATAGAGAGAGAGAGAGAGAGAGAGAGAGGGGGAGAGAGAGAGAGAGTTTAAGTAATTAAACATGGATTTAAAATTATGTCTAGTCCGTGCGGCGTCAAACCGGCCAATGACAAAACGACCTCGCCAAAACGACCCCGACAAATCGGCCCCGACAAAAGGGCCAGCGACATATAAACCCCGTCAAATACGCTCCCGCCAAATAGGCTCTCGATAAAAGGGCTCCAGTTAATAAGACTCCCAGCAAATAGGCTCACGTCATTTAGTTTCTCGATAACACGGCCCCCGTCATTATGGCCCCCGACAAATAGGCTCCCGCCATTTAGTTTCTCTTCAAAATGGCCCCCGTAATTACGACTCCCGACAGATAGGCGTCCGTCATTTTGGCTCACGACAAATAGGCTCCTGTTAATTTGGCTTCCGACAAAAGGACCACTAACAATACGGTGTCCGTAGAGACTAAGTCTCCCGGCAAAACGGTCCGATTGAATATGACACCTGCCAGTGGGACCCCCTTCATCAATATTCTTTTAGAGTTAGCTTATCCAACACTCTTAAGTAATGCAACGTATGCATCTCTTGTTCGGCAGGCCTTATTGTTATGCTAGTTTATCTATTATAAGAAATAGTATGTTTTAATTTAAAGGTCATCTATCTATGACTTCCATAAATGAGTCGGTTACAGGCTGTTCCGAAGTGTGTGGGGATAGGGGTCCACGCTGTACATTCCTACCTGCAGTATGCTTGTAGGTTAACAAAACAATGCCGTTATCCTGTAAACATCAAGTATATCATACATTTATACTTCTATGCTTGCTTTTAAGCAAGAGATCTTTGTTGTTGTAAATTAAACATCAAATTTTTAGTTTTGGTGGAATTTAGCTGTTAAGGGCTCGATTTGTTTGTGAATTGATGTTGGTTCATGAAAAACAATTTCATTAAGGCATTTAAAAGAGGTTATAGTGGTAGTGGAGGTAAAACAAAATGGCTACTTTTATGTCAATAGTGGTCATACGATTCATTAGGCTGGAGCCAATATGTCGGGAGTCGTTTTGTCGGGAGCCAATATGTCGGGAGCCTATACGTCGTGAGCCCTTAAGTCGGGAGCCAATGTGTCGGGAGACGCTTTGTCGGGAGCCAATATTTCCTGAACCTATTTGTCCAGAGCAAATACTAAGGGCTGTTCTTTTATTGGCAATAACTTCTATCGAAAGCGATTTCATCGATTACCGAAAATTCAGGCTACTTACGTTTAATGGTACATATTTTTATTCTGATGTCAGCAACTCTTCACCCTAACCCACCTTTCACTCCCACTCACCCCCAGTTATACTTATACGTGTTCTTTTAATGGAAATGCATTCTATCGAACTCGATTTCATTGATTGCCCCCCTCCCCCTTCCTCCTCTTTTGACATTTTTTTTACTTCCCCGGGGCCAGATTTAAGTGTAATTTTTTTTTCATGGTTTATCTACCCCGTAAGTATGGCAGGAAATGTATTAAAAGTGTTATTCTTTCCCCTTCTTTTATTATCTCCCCTTAAATATTTTTAATCTATTATATCAAAGTCAAAAGTAGTTTCGTACGGCCGACTGACGATATCAGCTATAGAAATCCAAACGCCGCGATTCACTATCACCAAACTGGTGAATTATAAGGGAGGGAATTTTAAAGCATAGGCCTACTTGCTGGCTAAATTCCGTGAAAATTCAAATTGTTTTCAATTTTTAAATTATTTATATAGGTAAATAGGCTTTTTTTGCAGTAGGACTTCTGCATTTTATTTCGTTCATATTTTACATTTGATGCAGCGCGTTTTTTTTTTTTTACTTTCTCGTATATACAGAGTGTAGAGAAAGTATTGTAATCGTGCAAAAAAAAAATCGAGATTTTTGCAAATATCGACGTTTCACACCTCCCTGAGTCGGAAAAACATAGTTTGCAATCTTGTCCGTGTGTGTGTGTGTGTGTAAACACGATTTAGAATTTGCAATTTTTTAGCCCGAGTTTTCTGCTCATGTTTTTAGTTAAATATTTCCCCCCAAAAATACGAAATAAACCGGGAGTAATCTCCCCTAAACTTTCTCGAATATTCTTATATAACACTACGTGGGATGGCACCTCGGGATATAGACAAGATTTTTAATCAATTTTCAATTACTTAAACTTTTTAAAATAGAATAGAATCTTTCTAATAATATTCAGGGATGCCATATTTTCGAGAATCAGGTGTTTTTTTTCCTTTTCTGGATACGCAAGAATTGAGTTTTAAAATTTCCGGGTTTGCAGTTTTAAAAAAAAATTAAGATCGTTTTAAGCTTGAAAATTTTGGCATTCTAGAAATCTTACATGCCTTGGCGGTACATATTTACTGCTGTGCAAACCTAGAATTATCATAATTATTACGCCCCCGCTTTCGTGGCCTTTGTCTACCCGACATCACGCCGATATTTCGGTCAATGCGACCTTATATTTTCTTCTAGGGGAGTCGTCCATAAATGACGACACACTCGTAGGGGGGAGGAGGGGGTCCGTAATTTTGTGACGGTGTGTGATGAGGGGGAGGGGGGGGGGGGGTCAGATGGTGCAACGTCTCACTTTTGCATTATAAACAAGCCATGTTAGAAAACGAATTTTAGACGTTATTTTGCGTTTTAGAAAACTGTTTTAATAAATTGTAATTTGAATTGATTAAAATACTCTATTTTGACAGAGTTCAGACAAGATTTGGGAAAAAAGATCGATGTTTAAAAAAAAAATTCAACTGTAATTTTTAGGGGTAGGGGTTGAAGGCTGACGTGTGACGTCATTTTAGGGGGGGGGTGTCTGGCTTTTTGTGACGGTGTGTGACGGAGGGGAAGGGGGGGGGGGGACTGGAGGTAAAAATCGTCAAAAAAAAGCGTGAATTATGGATGACCCCCTAGGTCTATCCTAACTTCACGCGACCTCGCAGTATAGTATAGTGCCGGATTTAGATCTGTAACTATTAACCAACAAAATGTCCGAAACACCAGTAGGCCTATTTATTACGTTCGTGAAAAAAAAACTTATAGTAAATGACGTCACCGATAATCTCACATGCGCAATGGACCAAATAAAAATCAGCTGTATTGTATAGTATTAGATGGGTGAGGCTGTAGACGGAACCGTTTGATGTCCTTCTTGGTGTGGATGTCCTGCTATTAATGAGGATGTGGGTTGGGGGTAAAGTTCGCATTATTTACGTGACGTCATCATTGGGCTACAGCTCGGCTGTGTAATAAAAATAACAAGGCCTTACCATTACTTGCAACGCCGATTTTTTTTTATTTCTCGTATACGAAGTATAAAAAAGTATTGTAATCGTGCAAAAAAAAAATCATGATTGTTACCAATCTCGACCGACGTTTTACACCTGAGTCGGAAAAATATAGTTTTGCAATTTTGTCCGTATGCCTGTGTGTGTGTGTGTATGTCTGTGTCTGTGAACACGATAACTTGAGTACCGTTACAGCTAGGTTGATGAAGTTTCATATATAAGTATAATATCAAACTTCTTTTTATCCATGTCAATAACAATGATTGAACCCGTTGTCTTACTCGGCTGCCTCCATTAATTGTTATCCTTGTTTAAGATTGTGGTTATTCCATCCATTTGCACACCCTTATTTGTTGACTGTGAACTCTTTATGTAACAATGTAATGACAAGACATTTCATATCACAGCCTAGAAATCAGTGAGGTTCCACCTTGATTACCAAGTTGGAATTGAATTCCAACTCAACAGTTCTGAAATTGCTTTAATTTTACGCAGATGTCATTTTATTGTATCAGTTGTAGTGGATTTGTTGCTGTTCATCATCTAGAGATATTCCCTATCTAATTTTTTAAACTGTCCTGGAGCATCATAACATCTGTCCCATATTTACTTAGTCTATACTTCATGTCTCAAAAAATCACCACTTCTGTTGCTTCTCACCGTGTTCATCTGTTATATTTTATATCCCAGCCTGTCCATATCCTGCACATATTACATTCATCATGTGGTCCTTGACCTTTCCAGGTCCCCAATAAGCCAACTACCAAGGAGGAAGCTAAGGAAACACCTGTGAAAAAGACTGTGACAGGTACAGATGCTGACCTGAGGAGACTTAACCTGCAGGATGCCAAACAGCTGCTGCGCAAGTTTGGTGTTCATGAATCAGAGGTGGGTACTTTTTTTTAGTTTGGTGTTCATGAATTAGTGGTGGGGGGACATTATTTAGTTTAATGTTCATGAATAAGGGGAGGGGGGGGGGCATTTTTTAAATTTGATTTTCATTAACTAAGGTTGAGGACATTTTTTTCAGTTCTATTTACCTTAATTTGAATGGGGAAATTTTTTTTAGTACATGCATTAGGAGTGGGTTTTTTGATTATTCTAATATCAAGTAATTATAGCAAAACTGTACACTAACATCGTTGACCTAATAATCTGTAATTGTAACAGAATCTTTTGTCCCTACTACAGCCATATTATCATAGACCCAAAACAAAGAATACAATTCTCTAGTTTAGTCAGTGGACAAAGCTAAGTTTCATTAAAATACTGTTACTTAAAAATGTCTTTGCTCATGTCATTCTTTATTAACAGTTTCAACTGCTACTGTGCTGTATATCTATGTATCAGAATATGTACAGTTAAAATCCTTTAGAGATTTTAACTTCTATTGGACATTTTTGTATAAATAAAATAAACTTTAAAGCTAATAAAACATTGAACAGATAAAAAAACTTTCACGCTGGGAAGTAATTGATGTGGTGAGGACTATGTCTACAGAACAGGCCAAACAAGGCCAGGATACTACAGGTGAGCTTTGATTTGTTGACATTTACTGTCCACATTTGACATTGACTGTCAATATCTGATATCCATTGCAATATATGTGACATTTACTGTTGATATGTGATGTTTACTGCTAATAAAATGTGACATCCTAGCTTTGACATTGACTGAATTCTTGTCTGAAAAAGTGAGTACTTAGTGTTAGTGTAGAGCTCTAGGCAAACAGCGTTTACATACATACATAGGTGAGGCTGAGCAGTGATTTCATTGTACAGTTGGAGTTGGTCATGTCTAATAGTACATTTGTTGTGAACACACTGACATGCCGTTATGGGTAATCAAGTGCGTTCCAGAACATTTAAGACAAATAACCACAAACGGGTTACAAAACACATGCCTTATTAAAACAAAGTCTTGTTACAATACTAAATTTAAATATATATCTACACTATCTACACACAGGCTACTCAAAATACTAACACAAAAGTAAAAACACAAATCTAGGATACCGTGGTTGCAGAACTAAAGTACACAGAACTAACCTACACTAACCCTGATAGATGTAAAGTACTGGATTGAGGCTAGCAAAAATGCTATCACAGAGCTTTTATACCCGTACACAAACAAGTACAAAACAGACTACAATCACCTCAAGACAAGAGTGATGAACACTAGTGGACGGCATGCTACTACATACACACATCCCCTTCACTCATTCACTACAACACTTATCTCTCATTTAAATCTTAGAAGTGGTAAAGACTAAATCTTACGAGCTTAGTAAAGTTTGCTAAATCTCACAGGTTTGGTAAAGTTTACAAAATTTTACAGGCTTTGTAAAGTTTACTAGATCTTACAGGCTGGGTAAAGTGTACTAATGTTTTGGGTTGGGTAAAGTTTACTTTTTTGAGTTGGGTAAAGTTAACTTATCTATGTTTCAGGTTGGGTAAAGTTTGCCCGTGGGAACCGCTACTCTGCTGCAGAGCACATGGAGAGGTACAAGGATGAATGTCAGAGAATTTTTGAGCTGCAGAACAGGCAAGTATTTCTTCATGTTTTAGTGTATTGGTGTTCTTTCTAAGCTTTTACAAAAAGAGTTCTTCACCTGTCAACCAACAACAGATCTACATGAGTTGGATTTCAATCCCAGCAAGCTATTATAAATTGTTTTATAACCCCTACATCTTTATTTCTACAGCGTTTTGGCATCCACAGAAACTTTATCCACTGATGAGGAGTCGACATCCGGTGAAGATTCGGATTTTGAGGAGATGGGCAAAAACATTGAGAGCATGTTATCCAACAAGAAGACTAGCACACAGGTTGTTAATGATTTTAGGATGTTCTATAAGACTCTTATTTTGTGTTCTTCTTTACTTGGCTTTAAAAAATGGAAGCTATCTGCCAAAAAGTTGGATTCAGACTGTATGAGAGTGACTGCTGGTCCAACAACAAAATTATACAATTTGCTGCTTCTGCTTTTTAATGAGGTTAAATAAACATCTGAGACAGTGACTTGTTTTATCTATGTCCTGTCTCATATGAAAACAGAGCTGATGCACATTTAGGTTGAGTACACTTTATTGCACCTACTTATGTATGTTGCAAGGGAGTATCTTTTTCTGTTCGTGCACTATACACATTGGGCAGATGAAGAAGAGTTTATCTGTGTTAATGACCTTGGCTTACATATGAATAGTGTGGTCAGCACTTCGCCTAACCGCTTTTGTTTCGTTGAAGTGAGTCAGTTACTTATCACAGCTGGGTGGACTCAGAGATGTCCTCCAGACTTGATCCTGGGATCCTAATAGAAAACCTTCAGGTTAGCAGTGGTTAGCTCTACCATGGAACCACTCCATACGATGGCATTTAATAGTTTCTGCAATAATATTTGGATTATTTTCTGCCCATATGAAAACAAAACATAATATCTGAAATGAAGTAACTGCACACATATTGAATTTATTGTTCTAACACTCCACAGTTGTCAAGGGAAAAAGAGGAAGCAGAGAGACGAGAACTACAGAGGATGTTGAAAGGGGACATGGGTGACAGCAAGGATAAGAAAAAGTCAGGAGCTGGGGGGAGCAAGGAGGACGACCTCATGGTGAGACCATCATTTTAAATACTGGAGTCATTTAATAGATCAAATTTTATTTTTTTAGGATATATACATGTAAAAAGAAATTCAACATTTGCTGCACATGTTTATTTCAAATCAGCTGCCATGAAACCTATTATGATCGTTATTTAACTAAATCTATTAAGTGAAGTTCCCTTTCAAACAAATTGGTCCTAAGGCAAAAAAGGTAGAGTTCATCTGTTTCTCTTAACTTGGAACTTGAAGGGACAGTGTGGTCAGCACAGCCATTTTATTCACTGACTTAGGTCAGGTAACAATCAATGCTGGATGGACTCCTACCAAAACAAGTTTGTGATATGAACTTGAAACTAGGGTTTTAAAATTGAGTGTCCTACCATTTGACCATGCAGTCTCTAGTGTTGTAACATAAATCTTTTTTATTTATTTATTTAATTTAGCACCATCGTGGAAGAAAGCTGAAAATAGTCAGGACATTCCATGATGATACAGGCAGACAGTACCAGAGGTCTGAGATGGTCAGCAACCCTGTGGTCATTGATGCTTATCTGAGAATACGTCAAACTCGAGACCCCAACTTCATGTGAGTAGCTTTATGCTACCTTCAGATATATCCTGTGATGTTGACACCTGTCGTTTGCACTACCATGTTGTCATTCTTTCAGTTGACAACCTGTTATCTATACTAATTTATTATGTTGAAATAACTTACTAGAATTTTTATATTGACAGTAAAGATTTTACTGAATTTGTTGCTTGACAGTAAACAATTTAATAAATCTTTCTATTGACAGTAAACAATTTGATAGAACTTTGACAGTAAACAACTTGTTGAATCTTTCTGTTGACAGTAAACAATTTCCTGAATCTTTCTATTGACAGTAAACAATTTGCTGAATCTTTCTATTGACAGTAAACAATTTGCTGAATCTTTCTATTGACAGTAAACAATTTGCTGAATCTTTCTATTGACAGTAAACAATTTGCCGAATCTTTCTATTGACAGTAAACAATTTGCTGAATCTTTCTATTGACAGTAAACAATTTCCTGACTCTTTCTATTGACAGTAAACAATTTGCTGAATCTTTCTATTGACAGTAAACAATTTGCTGAATCTTTCTATTGACAGTAAACAATTTGCTGAATCTTTCTATTGACAGTAAACAATTTGCTGAATCTTTCTATTGACAGTAAACAATTTGCTGAATCTTTCTATTGACAGTAAACAATTTGCTGAATCTTTCTATTGACAGTAAACAATTTGCTGAATCTTTCTATTGACAGTAAACAATTTGCCGAATCTTTCTATTGACAGTAAACAATTTGCCGAATCTTTCTATTGACAGTAAACAATTTGCTGAATCTTTCTATTGACAGTAAACAATTTGCTGAATCTTTCTATTGACAGTAAACAATTTGCTGAATCTTTCTATTGACAGTAAACAATTTGCTGAATCTTTCTATTAACAGTAAACAATTTGCTAAATCTTTCTATTGACAGTAAACAATTTGCTGAATCTTTCTATTGACAGTAAACAATTTGCTGAATCTTTCTATTGACAGTTAACAATTTGCTGAATCTTTTTATTGACAGTAAACAATTTGCTGAATCTTTCTATTGACAGTAAACAATTTGCTGAATCTTTCTATTGACAGTAAACAATTTGCTGAATCTTTCTATTGACAGTAAACAATTTGCCGAATCTTTCTATTGACAGTAAACAATTTCCTGACTCTTTCTATTGACAGTAAACAATTTGCCGAATCTTTCTATTGACAGTAAACAATTTGCTGAATCTTTCTATTGACAGTAAACAATTTGCTGAATCTTTCTATTGACAGTAAACAATTTGCTGAATCTTTCTATTGACAGTAAACAATTTGCTGAATCTTTCTATTGACAGTAAACAATTTGCTGAATCTTTCTATTGACAGTAAACAATTTGCTGAATCTTTCTATTGACAGTAAACAATTTGCTGAATCTTTCTATTGACAGTAAACAATTTGCCGAATCTTTCTATTGACAGTAAACAATTTGCCGAATCTTTCTATTGACAGTAAACAATTTGCTGAATCTTTCTATTGACAGTAAACAATTTGCTGAATCTTTCTATTGACAGTAAACAATTTGCTGAATCTTTCTATTGACAGTAAACAATTTGCTGAATCTTTCTATTGACAGTAAACAATTTGCTAAATCTTTCTATTGACAGTAAACAATTTGCTGAATCTTTCTATTGACAGTAAACAATTTGCTGAATCTTTCTATTGACAGTTAACAATTTGCTGAATCTTTTTATTGACAGTAAACAATTTGCTGCCATGGATGACCAGCAGAAGGAGGAGATGAGGAAGGAGAGGAGGAGGATACAGGAGCAGTTGAGGAGGATCAAGAGGAACCAGGAGAAGCCTTTCTCCACCCCACCCCCCAAGAAAAAACCCAAGAAGGAAAAGGAACAGCTTCTCAAGAATTCCAAGGTTTCAAATGTTGGTTCTATGAGCTTTGTTGCTCACTTTATTAACCTTTTTTTGTGTGTTAATTTTTCTTGGCTTGTTTTGTTGTTATATTCTTGTTTTTTATTACAAATAATTTATTCTGAGAGAGATTAACACTAACAAAATAACTTATTTATTAATTAGCTATTAATAATCGTGAATATATGTATTTAAATCAGTACAATTTTTTAAAAATAGTTTATTAAAAAATTTTATTTTACAAATAATTTTTTTACAATAAGCAACAACATTATGTTATTTATGACTTTTGTCAAATTTTTGTTAATTAATCAATGACACTGTTATTTATAATTAAAGTACAATTTTGTGACTTGCAATACAAGTGAATAAAATGTCTGATTGAATGTTGACAGATGAAGTGCGGAGCCTGTGGCCAGATTGGGCACATGCGAACCAACAAGGAATGTCCTATGTACAACACCAGGGGAGCAGGGGCTGGGTCTCTGCAGGTGGCCATGACGGAAGAGCAGGAGGAGGAGGAGGAGAAGAACGTGCCTGTGGACCAGGATCTCATCAATGTTGAGGGCACCAAGATCATCATGTCCAAAACTCTCCTGGAACAGTCAGTCCTTGCTTATACTTATACATTACACAACACTCTGTTACATTATACTTTTTATAGGCATAAAAATTTTAATTTTAAAAAGCATTAGTACATTTATAAAAAGTTTCTAACCATAATATTTGATATTAATGGTTTGCATGAAACTTGTAATGAAATTAGCTTTAGCTTTTAAATAAAAATTCAAATTGGAATACTTAAAAATTTAATTCATGTAAAAACAACATTTTTAAATACAAAAAAATTTTTAATTTCACAGTGAAAAGAGGACAGTTAATTTACTAATATTGCTTTATCTAAGAGTCGTCATCATGTTTACGTTATTTCACAGCGCTGAAAGCATACGCCGCAAATCTCTGGTGCTTAAGGTACCCAAGCAGGCAGTAGAAACCAAGAAAAAGCGCAGGGTCAGCAATATTGTACACTGTGACTACCTCAAGGTAAGGCTGCCCATTGCTTATGATGATGTTTAAAAGTACTTGTGTTTTAAAGTCTTAGAGAAAACATAATATTTGTATATTCTATATTGAGTAACAATTGTAGATTTAGTTTTAAACCAGTTTATTTTTTGTTTCGTTTTTTTGTAGAAGCCAAAACAGTCTTCAAACAGACGACGTACAGATCCACTGGTTACTTTGTCGTCTATCTTTGAAACCATCCTCAATGAACTCAGGAGTATGCCAGATGTAAGAAGTGTCAAGGTTTTAAGCTAACAATAAATAAATTAACTTAAGCACAGAGTATTAACATTGTATTAAATATTAGTTTTTTGTTAATCTTTTTAAATTGTTACTTACGTGGGCATTTGGAAAATAATCTTATATGCTGCTGAGATTTTAAAAAAAAAGAGATACTAAAACATCCGAAAGAAAGAATTTAATAATTTGAATTTATTTACTGTGATTTTCTAATTAGAAACTTACATAAATTTACCTAGACTGCAATTTTAGCTATAATTTTATTTTTTGATGATATATTTGGAGTATCTAGTGTCAATGTTATCACTAGTTCTTATAACAAATTAACTGATTAGCCTGCCCCTTGTTTTTTTTTGTCATAGAAGAGTAGTTGTTATTATTTACTTGGCTAAAAGTGGATGAAACATGCCATTTTGTTAATCTGATTTCTTTTGTAATATATTTTAACAAATAGTAAAATGCGCTCACTGTAGTTAAAAGCAAATTGATTATTGGAGTTAATCCCCTTGTTGTCCAATAGATCCAGCTGTTTCTGTTTCCTGTCAATCAAAAAGAAGTGCCTGATTATTACCGCATCGTTAAACGTCCAATGGACATGCAGACCATGAGAGAGGTAAAGCTTGACAAATTTTTATTAAAGTTTTCTAAGTGAAAGTGATCAAATGCACTGGAGCTTGTAACTTTCACCCAGCTTTTCTATTATGTCAGACGATTGATATGTCTTTAATTTTCTTCCACAGAATGTCAGACAGAAGAAGTACAGGTCAAGAGAAGACTTCCTGTTGGACTTAAACCAAATCATTGAGAACAGCAAGATTTATAATGGTCAGTTGGCTACTGTTAAGTCATGCATGAAATTAATTGTGGTAGATGTGAATAGTGTGGCCTCTGTTACATGTAGCTGCATTCAACTGGATTTCCCCTCTAGATATTGATTGGAAGACTTAACAGAAAAGTTATTTACCCTTTCAGACCAGGTAGATTAGGGTAGATAAAGTAGAGTTTATCTGTTCCTGTGAACTCTGCATGTGAAGGGAAAGTGGTCGCTTTTCCAGGGGTCAGGTACTCATCAGAGCTGAGTGAACTCAGGAACATCTACAGCCTTGAGCCCTGGATCCAAACATGAGACTTTCAGATTTAGCAGTCATGTCTTGTGCCATGTGACCACGCAGTCCTTCTGCGAGACTTAGGTGTTAGATTTTATATTAACATTGAGAAATAAAACTTACAATAAATCACAAATTCACACTTCTACTCTTCTTTCTGTCTCATCTTTTTCTGTAAATTATTACCTTCCACTTAGCTGAGTATTGTTCCTGCGTCACATTATGAAGAGAAATTTTCTGTGTCCTTTAGGTCCAGCTCACCTGCTGACACTGAATGCACAAGCCATGTTGACTCTGTGTTTCCAGAGGTTTGCTGAGGTAAGTTGAGTTTTAGACTTAGCAGTTTACAACCATCAGACGTGAACCCAGAACCTCAACACTATTTCAGGCAACATAACCATACCATTAAAAATTCTGGGACAGGAAAACCAACTATCTGAAACAAATTCCAAAACACTTACACAAACCCATTTTATGACATAAACACTAAAACAATGACACAATTAACAAAAAAAATTACACCAACACCAAAGGCAAAGATACAATCACCAAAACTAAACACTGAACACAATCACCAAAACAATGACACAACCATGTCTGTACCTCCAACAACAATGTCATCAAACCATAACATCTATGCCAACAGAAAGAACAGAAACTGATGCGTCTGGAGAAAGCCATCAACCCACTGCTGGATGACAATGACCAAGTGGCGTTGTCTTACATCTTTGAGAAAATTGTCCTCTCTATGAAAGGCATGGAAACTGTAAGTCTTCTACTGACATCTTTGAATGGTAATAATACTTGTTTGGGGAAGCTCAGCAGTTGTGCAGCCCTATTCTGGTGGATGTTTGTGTATAAACTGCTTGTAACCTGCTTTAAAGATATGCAGTCTAGTGACCTCACATGTATAGCCTGGTTGTGTATTGACTGCATGTGACCTGTATTTTAATAAATTGTGTTGTATTTCTTCAGTCCTGGCCCTTCCACCAGCCTGTCAACAGGAAAACTGTCAAAGACTATTACACTGTCATCAAGCGTCCCATGGACTTGTCTACGCTCCTTAAGGTAGGAGATTCTTTTATTTAACCATTATTAATTAAACAGTAAGACCTTCCACAAATATAAAATATATTGTCCTTAACTGTGATCTGGTCATTTCTAAGTAAAAATACCAATATCTGACCCTCTGCTGTCCAGTGTATACAGCCCTCTGATAAGAGTTTAAAACAGCTGACCCTCTGCTGTCCAATGTATATGGCCCTCTGATAAGAGTTTAAAACAGCTGACCCTCTGCTGTCCAATGTATACAACCCTCTGATAAGAGTTAAAAACATCTGACCCTCTGCTGTCCATAGAATGTCCAGTCCCACAAGTACCAGAGCAAAGACCAGTTTGTGGAAGATGCTGAGCTCCTGTACACCAACAGTCTGCAGTACAATGGCCCAGAGCATGCGTTCACTAGCACGGCTCGTAAGCTGATGGAGGTCTTGAAGGATGAACTCAATGAGGTACACATTTCTTGTTTAATGAACTCAGTGAGGTACACATTTCTTGTTTAATGAACTCAGTGAGGTACATATTTCTTGTTTAATGAACTCAATGAGGTACACATTTCTTGTTTAATGAACTCAATGAGGTACACATTTCTTGTTTAATGAACTCAGTGAGGTACACATTTCTTGTTTAATGAACTCAGTGAGGTACACATTTCTCGTTTAATGAACTCAGTGAGGTACACATTTCTTGTTTAATGAACTCAATGAGGTACACATTTCTTGTTTAATGAACTCAATGATGTACACATTTCTTGTTTAATGAACAAAATGAGGTACACATATTTCATTTTTATCAACTCAATGAGGTACACATTTCTCTTTTGATGAGATTTGAAACAGTATTTAACAATCCTTAAATTGTTGGTTATTGCATAATAGAATTTAACAGAAAGGATTGATTATGTAAAATAACTGTAAAATGTGAATATACCTGCAAAAAGGAATGTTACCAAGTAACATACATATGTTAACTTAATGTAACAGAAGTTTTAGATTATTGACTTATTTTGCCATAATATAAAATAATCTGTATTATGTTTGAAAAAAAGGGAGGTAATGTTTTTCTTGTAATATTCCAGAAAGAAGAGCAGATTGCCCAACTTGAGGCAGAGATCAGTGCAGCACAGGAGGCGGCGCTAGATGCCGCTGACACTGACAGCATGACAGGGACGTCTATCAACAGAGATGACGGCAGCATCTTGGGTAAAGATTTTACATTTCCTTTAAATCATGTTATTTTAAAAACAAGATCACAAAAATGTGCGGACTTCCATTTGGTTTTTATTTCCTCATTCTGATGCCATATTAGGTCTACAATAGACAGCACGGTTTTTAAGTAGGTGTTTTAGTGTCATAAAATGTCTGATAATACAATTTGTCTTTAAATAGACAATTTGGTTTTTAAAGTTGGTGTTTTAGTGTCATAAAATATCTGATGTTACAATTTGTCTTTAAATAGACAATTTGGTTTTTAAATTGTTTTAGTGTTATGAGACATCTGATGCCACAATTATTCTGCAAGTAGACAATTTGGTTTTTAGTTTGTGTTTTAGTGTCATGAAATATGTGATGCCATTTGTGTTTTTCCTATTGTGCAGACACTGAAAGTATGGATGGGTTCAGTGGTGGGACCAAGGACCACATGACCATAGCTGAGGATGACAACAACTCTGCCATGAGATCTTTTGCTGGGGAGTTCACTAAAGTAAGTCTTGGTGTTAAGGGGAGATAAGTAACTGCTGGGTGTAGGGATGGGGAGGCTGCAAACTATTGCTGAAGGAGTATAACATGCTATAATAGTTCTGCTGCACGATTATTGAAAGGGAGAAAATGAGTTGTGAGAAGTGATAACAGGTAATTGGTATATGTTTTAAATCATTATATAGTTGCTTAGGGTTTTAATTAATGGATTGTGAAAGTGGTAAAATTTATTTAGGAAGTTGACAAATAGTCCCAGAGCAATTGTTGAACTAATAACTTTCTCCCATATTTGAAATTACTATCTGTCAATTTTATACCAATTATATTAAGTTGCTAGCTATTAAAACAGTTATCAAACCTTCAATAACACATTTGTTTACATATGAATAAGATATTAATAAAACAAAATAGTTAACGGTGCTGAGCCTCTCATTCTGTTGTTGAGGGTCACACAATTCACTGTAAAGAAAAAAAAATTCTGTATTCGTATCTTTTGACTAGTCACACCATCCAGCTGTTAATTTTTGTCTATCCCCACAGAACACCCAGCAGGCTTCAGATTCTGAGTTTGTGGACATTGAAGGGGATGAGGAGGCAGCATCACGCAATCAGGTCAGTATTTTTTGTTGCTGACCAATGTTCTAGTCATAAAATCTCACTCAAACCACCACAGGCAATAAAAGTAAAATTTGTCAAGGGACAGCGTGGGCGAATGGTAGACTGTAGAGCTCATGACCCTTAACCCAAAATTCTTGAGTTCGGCTCATGGGCTTAAGTCTGTGGCATGTCCCTCAATTCACCCAGCTCTGATGGGCACCTAACTTATGTTGGGGAAACAAAGGCAGCGGGCATAGTGCTGACCACACTATTCCATTGTTTACCAAAGTCATTGAAACAGATGAACACTACCTCATCTGCCTCAAGTGAAGCGGAAAAAAATGAAGATAACTTTTTACAGATTTTTTAAAAATTTTGTAATATGTACCAGATCAAATGTTTTGTAGTGGGGCCCATATTTTCCTCTGAACATAAAAAAAATGAAATTTATTAAAACATTGTGGTGTCTAACATACAAGTGTTATGTTGACTATGGTATCTAACATACAAATGTCGGACTTATCCTACAGGCAAACAGAGAGAACTATGGAGAGGATGGTGAGGATGATGACCTGGCTAAAGACCTTCAGTTGTCTGATGGGGAGGAGGAGGATGATGATGAAGATAACAGTATAGGTAAACAATATGTTGATGCAACAGTATAAAACATTTTCTATCATTTAAACTATTGTGATCTATTTTATCTTTTTTTTTATCGCTAAGAAACTGGTTTAAATGTGTTATATAAGCACTTTTCGATACCATACATAAGTGTAGAAATGATTGATTAAAATTTTTTCCTTTACAGGAGACATGAATGAATCTGGTGATGGTCAGCAGATGGACGAGGAGGTCGGGGGTTATGACGAGAATGCTCGATCATACTTTGACAATCAGGGAGAAGAAATGGTTGAAGGTCAGTTACACCTCTGAAATTCTTTTCTTTATCTAACCTGCTAAGCTTTAGAAATGGAAATATATTTAGTCACGGTCCTGCTTTGTAGCCATTAAGTTTAAAATTTTTATCAGTTTTAAGCATTTTAAAATTTATTACCAACGAAACATAGTTAAAATATTGAAGTGTTTATGGTATTAGTAGGTGCATAACCTCATGTTAGGGAAAGTAATGGCTGTTTTGCATAGAACTGACCATACTGTCACCTCATATGCTGAGGTCACAGAAACAAGATAATTCTACCTCAGGTGCCCCATTGACTGCCGTGTCCGAAAGGATAACAGTTTTGCACATTAATAAAATTTAAAGAAGTCAGTAGCATTGTTTTAATTTGATATTCTACTTGTGTCTTAATTTAAGTTAAGGAAATACCAAAATTTTTGTCTCCCCTAGGTGAAACATATGGTGCAGGGCAGTTTGAGGAAGAAGGGGACAGCTTTGATCCCAGCGAGTTTTTCAAGAACAGCACGCTGGCCTCCGCACAGGCCCAGGCTCAAGCTGAGGGTGGGGTGGACATCAACGATGACCTGCAGATTTCAGACGACAGCGACGACGACAGGAAGGCTGATGCCAGGGAGCAGGAGGAGGAAGAGGAGGAACCCTATCCCATGATTCCAACGGAGAATCAGGCCACGGAGGGATTTGACATTAATGAATATTTGTGATACACTGGCTAAATGGGATAAGATGATAGCGTGCTTGTGGTTTTATGGATTTGTCAGTATGAGTAAGCTTATTGTGTGCTTGATTGGTTCTGCCTAAAGTTGATTGTGCGTGTTTGCTTGGTTCTACCTAAAGTTGATTGTGTGTGCTTGTATGATTCTGCCTTAAGTTGATTGTGCATGTTTGCTTGATTCTACCTAAAGTTGATTGTGTGTGCTTGCTTGATTCTGTCTAAAGGTGACTGTCTGAATCTCCCTCAAGCTGATTGTGTGTGCTCATTATTTACATAAAGTGAAACATTCAAAGTTTAATATGTTTATAATTATAATTATATACAAACTCCATGTTAATATGTTAATACATATCTGTATGATTTATATTTAATGTTATCATTGTTTCACCTTCTAAATATCATTAGTGTGATTGGCACCATTTTAAATTCTGTATCTAGTATCGATGTAGGGAGAAGTTTAGCATTAACTTAGATGCTATCCTAATCCATGAAATGTTTTCATGAGGAAATGAAATGTTTTGTTGAAAACGTGTAACATGTAACCAGCTATTTTTTCTACTTGAAGTTAATGTACCATTTTTTACATTAGAAAAACAATTTCTATCTTTCCCATATTGGGATTGTTGTTTTAGAAAATGTAAAAATGTTTGTCTCTTTTAAATGATATATACCCGAAATAACAGTGCTTTTATTTTTAATGTACAGTGTAAAGAATTTGTGAAAACATGAAGACTTCATTGAAGTTTAATATAGACAAACAATGTAAAATTAAACAACAGTAAAAAAAAAATATCTCGTTTTATATCATTCTTAACCAGTTGAATTTAATTTTTCTGATATATATTTACATTTTATTTTTATTTGTCTGAGTATATATTTTTAAAAGCACATCTTAACACTGCCTTCAATCTAAGGCCGAACTAGTCATACAATGCTAAAAAAAAGTTGTGTCCCTTGACACACAAAAATTCTATAGATTGAAACTACTGGTAAATTGCAAGGGAAATAACTTAGTTTTAAAACACCTAAAACAATGTAGATAACTGGGTTAGGATAAAGAGGTTTACTTTTAAGTTCTTAAACTAACTGCATTTTGTCTAGTCTTTGTTCATTATGCGTGGAGGGGGGGGGGGGGGGGTAAAGATGCTTGAAATAAACGAAACTAATATCGTTAAAATAAACATCAAATGAAAAGTAATACTATAAAGCAACAATTTATTTCTTCCTCTGATCAAGAAGTGTACCCTTTTAAATTTTGGTAATAATACTGCACCTTTTCAGCCCTTAGCTACTTACATTTTTTTTGAAAAACCGACAAAAATAATTTTAAAAGTGAAAAAATGAGATAACTAAAAAAGAAATGCGTGTGTGCCAGGTGTAGAATAAGGTGCGGGTTTTACCTTGACATCGTTTCAAAAAGTTTGAGGTGGGCTAGGCTACCTTGTCATCTAAGTTCTGGCAATAAAACAACTGTACCATCACTACGTCGAGGTGAGCTGTGTTTTTTCCACACTTTTTTCGGTCGGGGGGGGGGGGGGGGCGGACACTGTTAAAAGTATATATTTTCTGTTCGGGGGGCGCTAGACCTTCCTCGGGGGTGGGAGTGGGGCTGAGCCCCCCGAAGAGATGCCTGGAAGAAACTCTGGAGCTGAGGCTTGTCTTGGTTACTGACAAACAGACTCTAGTACCATCACTACATCAAGGTTAGACTTGTCTTGGTAAGTGACATTCTAACAGACTCTAGTACCATCACTACGTCAAGGTGAGGCTTGTCTTGATTAGTGACATTCCACAGACTCACAACTATGTCTTAAAAAAACAAAAAAAACATACGTAATTTTAAATGTTTTTTTAAAGTGTGGGGCGTCTTGCGGAAATGATGCAACACACTTTAAAAAGACGGAAGGGGGAGGGGGAGACATAGGTGCTAGATAAGGAAGTGAGAGTTTTGAGATATACCAACTCACGATATCTACTTCATTTTTTTAAATAAATAAAGTCTGGAAATAACATGTTACGAGTGATAATGGATATTTATTAGAAAGTGCAAATGATATGAAAAAAAAGGTATTGAGGGAAGGGGTTTCTGGCATATGGGCTACTGGCGCAGGGAGGCAGAGGAATCGACTAAATGTGTATATTTTTGTTAAGTCTTCGCTAGTTAAACCTGCCCTGACCGTACGTTAAACTAAGCCTTTAAGACCCAAACATTTCGCGCGACCAGAGCCTGACCCAACTGGTTCCAATCTATCAGCCCCACAGATAGGCAACATGCCAGGCTGATGGTTCGAGTCACTTGCGCATCCTTGCGTTACATGGGACTTACCTCCCCTCCTAACACCACCACCGCTATCTACTTTCCATTGGCGTGTCCTACACTGAAGGTTTTTAAAACTCCACGATAGCAGTGTTTCTTGCAGACATTTTTCTCCAGTAAAAAACTCAAACGTTTAAAAAGTAAAAATTCACTATAAAAATTGCATTTCGTTTGGGGGAGGGTAGGCGTGCTTCAGGTGAGAGGCAGTGCCCCCCTCCCACTATTTCTTCCAGGCAATCTCTTCGGAGGAGGGGGGGGGGGCGGAGCTTGGGGGGGGGGGGGGGGGGGGGGGCTGAAGAAACTGAACCGCCCCCCCCCCCGAACGCAATAAAATTTATATGGAAAATATATTTTTTAACAGTATCACCCCCCCCCCCCGGAAAGTTAGCCCCCCCCGCCAAAAATTTCAACTGACCCCCCCCCCCCCCCCGGAGAAAAAAAAAAGTCTGGAAGAAACACTGCCCCACCCCCAGAGATGCCTGAAAGAAACCACTGCACGCTAGAACAACACAAGAACACAGAATCAAAGCAAGCAGTAACGTAATACACACGATAGCACAATGGCGAAGACGTAACTTAATCCAGAAAGTAGATTGAAGGACTCCGGATACAAAATACGAGCTAATCTTTTGAAAAAATCTGGCCACTACTGGAGACAAAAGTTTCAAAAACTGTCGTGTCAGAGCTATTTTGCTTTCGCGTTTGTTATGTCTTGTGCGCCAGGTACAAAATAGCCACAAAGGAATGCGATAGTATTATATAGTTAATATAAATGTTGGTTATAGAAGTCATTATATATTTTCGTTAGGGGGGTCGTTCATACATAGAGGAGAGGGTTTTCTCACTTCTGTGAAGATCATCTACCTGAGGTGCTGTAGGGGGGGGGGTCAATAAATATGACATGGCACTGGTTTGTATTTCTGAAGAATAAATAAGATGAGAAAAAAAATCCCTTTCTAAATTCCGTTAGAATGTTGGTTATTTTGTGGAAAAGCGTGACGACGTTTCGGAGGGGGGGGGGGGGGGGGGAGTAAACCGTCGTTAATTTATGGACTATCTTTTAGAAAGCATTTTAATATCAAATATAATATTAATAGGCAGTCAAAAAAGGGGCTTCACGCATGGATGATGCAAGGAAATGAGATGGTATCCTGCAAGACTGCAGCATGTATGATACGGCGCGGTCTAGGCTGTATGGGGTGCCCGCAGGTCTGGAGACCACCGTCCAGTTCGTCCACAACGTTGTGCTTGTTGTCCAGTGTTTCTTCCAGACTTTTTTCTCCGGTGGGGGGGGGGGGGAGGGAGGGGGCACAAAATTTTTGGGAGGGGCGGACTAAATTTTCCGTGGGGGACGGGGTTGGGGATACTGTTAAAAACAAAAACATATATTTTCTATATAAATTCCAATTCGTTCGGGAGGGGGGGGGCGCCGTAGATTTTTTTTCCCGAGCCGCCCCCCCCCCCCCCCCCCCCTCCCCCCCTCTTCCCGAAGAGATGCCAGGAAGAAACACTGTTGTTGTCTGACTCCTCCGCTGTAACTAATGTTGAGTAGGTCGAAGAAGAAGAAGGGGTGATCTTCTTTGGTGGGTGCGGGGTGTTAGTTTTCTGCAAATAACACTAATTTCTAGACACAGGCCTACTCTACTGCAATGATGTATTTCCTAATTAGAATTAAGACAACATAGCAAAAGGATTGTAGGTTAATTAACAAGAAAATTAATTGATTTTATACAGAACAAGCATGCATATTATGCTACTAATTATTTTACATTTAATAAAGTTACAAATTTACAGTTAATAAAGTTATGGTTTTGTGTTGGGCTCTATACGTGAGTGGCTGTGTTACATGTTCTTACTCGTTGTTTGATCCATGCTGAAATAAATCGTCTTGTTTCACTTGAGCTATGAGGACATGTTCTAACTAAGCGATATTCGATTCTCATCCAACTCGATACTAATCGTTTAGTATGTCTTTGTATATGGGCAAGCACGCAGATTAGTTTAGAACATTTTTTAAAAAGTGAAATGGAGATGACGTCAGAAGTGGCTTGAGTCCTGACTACACTAAAGGGCAGTTATACTTTCAGACAATTTTCTCCGGGAGAAACTTTCGAGAGTCGGGGGGGGGTGGGGGGGGGGGGGGGGGGAAGAGAGAGAGAGAGAGGAGGGGCATTAATTTCTTGGGCAGGGGATGGACACTGGTTAAAATATATATTTTCTATATACATTCAATTTCGTTTGGATGGAAGGATAGGAAAGAAAGGGGGGGGGGGGGAGAGGGGACGGCGGAGTACGTGCTTGGGGGGGGGGGGGGGTGGGGCGAAGAGTGAAGACATGCCTGAAAGAGAACTCTGATAAAAGAGGCATCCTCAGTTGATTCACACAACTGTAGCTGATTCTTACAACTTTCCTCCACCAAGCAATGCTTTCTCATCTCTCCCTCCCCCCTTTTTTTATCAAAAGATATGACGTCACGAAGCTCCACCCATGAAAATAATCATAATTCAAAAGAAAATTAACGTATTTGTCTCTCTCATTATGTTATGCATTTTTAAGGTATATGAACGTAAACTTGGTCGACATTTACCCCCCCCCCCCCACCCCACCCCCCACCTCCCGTTAGCTTCACCCACGTAGCTATTGGTCACCAAACTCAGCCCCCCACCCACCCACCCTTTGCACACATTGCGTGACGTCATATGTGAGAACAACTTCTAATTATCCATAAGGGGTAGACTAGGCAATCAGATCTGATCAAAGGGCTTGGGGAGTGGCTGATCAATGAAGTGGTCTCCCCTTGTAGAAAACTGAGTCTAGCGCTCACCACGGGGTAAAGTCAATAAATTATAATTAGCTTTTTAAAAATGTATGTGCCGTAGGTGATAAAGTTAATATATTTTTTAAGCCCAAAATGTCCGCGATTCTAAAATATCCATAAATGACGTCGCGCTTTTTTTTTGATAATTTTTATCTACCCCCTTTCCTTTCATCACAAAAAGCCACCCCCCCCCCCCCCCACCCCTCAAATTGAAGTTGATTTTTTTTTTAAAGCATCGATTTTTTTTCTAAAATATTCACTAGGACACGCCGCTAGTTGTAAGTTTAGTTAGAACACACCATTGAGAGTTTAGTTCAGAGTTTCTTCCAGGCATCTCTTCGGGGGGGGGGGGGGGGGGGGGGGGAGGCACCCCCCCCCCCCCCCCCGAAGAAAGTCTACCTCCCCCCCTCCCCGAAAATTTCAAGTGCCCCCCCCCCCCCCCCCGGAGAAAAAAGTCTGGAAGAAACACTGGTTTAGTTAGGTTAGGATATACAAAAAATACAGTTTCTTTCAGGCATCTCCTCACGAAAAATTCTGCCCCCCCCCCCTTCACCCCACTCCCATAGAAAATTTCAAATTCATGTGCCCCCCCCCCTTCCCCGGAGAAAAAAAAAGTCTGAAAGAAACACCGCCACTGACTGTGAGTTGAGTTAGGACACGCCGCTGACAAGTGCACTCGACTCGGGCTCGACTTGGCACACGGTCAAATATTTGCCTTGTAAGTCGGCATCAAAACATCCCCCTGCCACTCCCTCCCCACGCCCTTCGACAAACTACGCTGTTTCCAGGCTGCATTTATTTAAACTGTTTGCTCTCTCGCACTTGCCTGCATATATTTATATAGATCTGAGCAAACGTCTCATCCAGTTCGCCCTGGGATGACCCGGGAACCTTAAGCCCTGTCCTTTAATGTGACATGACTCTCCAATTATTCTTAAAGTAAATCTTACCATGGAATAAATTATCCAGCTTTAAATAAATGCAGATCTAGCAGAGATTGGTGATAGTTATGAAAAAAAAAAACGCTTTGTTTTAAGCAGAGTAGGCAAACAAGACAAACGCGTGATATTTCGTTCGATTAAATTAATGCATAATTTATTTTTTCTTTGTAGACGAGAATAACGAAGTTGTCAAAACATTATTTTTAGTTTATTCACAATTGTTTCCCCCTTCTTTTTACTTGTAACACGTAGATTAGTTACAATATGTAATCAGGCCTAATTAGCTTTAACTTTAATGGTTTAAATTAAATGAAGCATACGATTTTTAAAATTGGAATTGGTTGCTTATGTGTGCTAAATATTACCCCTGATCGAATTTTAATCACTAGAACTAGAAAAGAGAAAAAAAAAAACAACAAAATATCAGAGTTAAGAGACAATCGATAGTCGGTGTTGTTACAAAGCTACTGTCCTTTAATTAACAATTATCGCACGACAGGTCATGTTTGCTTAATTTTGTGGGTGTCCCAACTCTCCCGGATGTAAGGCGTGGTAAGTGGGAAAAATGGCGGACGTCGCAACATCCCAGGGCAGGGAAGATCGTTTACAATGTAGAGTTTCGAGACGCAAACGCAACACTTGTAAAATACAAAAACTTTGTGAAGATATTGCTAAAAATGGTAAAGGCTTTATGCATCTAAAACGCCCAGTTCTTATATCTCATAGTAAACCTTATAGGCCATATGCTTATTTTAATTTTAATCGATACTCTAAATTTAAAGATTTATTTACTTGTAGCTTCATGATACAACTGGCAACCCCATAAAATCTATCGTCTGCTAAGAAATTATTAAGTAATTAATTTGACGCAGTTACAAAATTAACATTGCTGATATTATAACGTGGAATACGTTATCAGTCTTGGAATTTCTAACCAATTTTTACAACGATACTGTAATTGTATACTAGTATTTTATTGTTTATCTCCCGTAAAATAGCAAAATTAGATGGTAAATTATGAACATTGAACTGGCCAGGATTTACAGCGCACCAAATGCCAAATAAATAATTTATTTCGGGCTATGACTTATGAATAAGGTTTTCGTTTTTCCGCTGATTTAATAAATAAATTGATTAAAACAAACCAATTAGTAGGAATTTTTTATGATTGATCCTTTAAAAAGTTATGAAGTACTTAGGATAATTACATGATAGTTCTATAATAAATATTTCTTTAACCAAGTTATCCCTAGAGAATGCTCCAATTAAATTAAATCTAGAAATAATGATATACCAAATATTAGAATCTATCTATATTTATAATGAAAAATTGATATCTGTTTAAGTTTTTAAAATTTAGATAGAAGAAAAGTTAAAAGTATCCAAGGCCTGAGTCTCAACTTGAAAATTTGTATTTATATATTTTATTTGTGTTGACACCAGGACTGCATTTATAGTCCTACATTAAAAACATAAAAACATATTTCTTTTAGGGTTTATAAAAGATCCAATCTCTTACAGATGTAATTCTACTTTCTGAGACAAGTGATTGAGAACCTAAGAATTAAAAAAAATATAGAATTTTCTAGAAGAAGATTAAGTTAGTTAGAACTTTCAGCAAGTGGGCTTTGAGTGAGGAAGGGATGCATTTAAACACTCTTAGCAGGATACTTGATTCATTTAAAAACATACCACCTAGAAAAATAACTTTTTGTTAGATAATTGATTCATGCATCTCCTAACATTTTAAAAAGCTGTAGGCCTGTTCATGGGTTTAGATATCAATCTCTAATATTTAGCTGTTATATTAGTTAACATATATATTAAGCCTACAAAAAAATCACAAGGTAAGTGAATACTTATACACCCACAAACAGCCTGTTTGTTTAGAATTTTTAAAATATATTTCCTTCACAATGTTTGCCTACAAATTGATGTCAATTTTAGTGTTTCACACCATGCATGGCTTGTTACAAGCAACTTATACGTTCTGCTCTAGTAGGTTATAAAAATAGGCACTGTCGAAATCTTGGTCTCGTTCAAAGTTCTTTATAATGATGCAAGCTATGTTATATTTAAAAACTGAACTTTATAAGCCCATGGTAATATACTTAGTCACTATAAATTGTTGATTAGTAGTATTTAATTAGCTTATAGTTTTATACTTTTCTCTTCATCCACAGTTTTGCTTTAAAATATCAATTTTTATTTATTGTTAATGAAAATTCAAGAGAAAACAATATTTTAGTTTTTTGTTTAATTTTCCAATTTAAAAGTATCATCCTGGTAAATATTAAGCTCTTGTTGCCTTTTAAATAAATCTTTTAGAATTACCGGGACAAACTGAACACTAATTTTCTTATCAATTTACTTGTTCTTCCATTAATGAAAAATATTTTTTTAATATCAATTTAGCTTGATTTGGTCACATATTACCAATTATAAAGAACTTTTTTTAAAGAAAAAAAACACATTACTTCCCTTTATTGGCAGTTGATTAAAATCTTTTAATATTTTTATTAGTTCTATTGTATTTAATCTATGTATTAAAATTCTGGCTGATTAGTTTTGAATTTGTGACATTCTTATGTAATCAAATAATGCTGCACTTGTGTAAAGATTTGACTATAAGATTATTACATTGTATTAAGATTTACATTAAACAGTTAACATTTGTAAATTAGATAGTTAACATTTGTAAATTAGTTAACATTGGTAAATCAGACAGTTGACAAGGCCAAATTAGACAGTTAACATTCATAAATTAGACAGTTAATATAGATAAATTAGTTATCAAGGCTAAATTGGACATTTGACATTGGTAATAAATTAGACAGCATTGGTAAATCAAAGTAGCCTACAGATTAGCTTTTTATAAATGAAAGGAATCTGTTTTATATAACCCTCTTGTTGTTAGCTGTTCAATATAAGCTGGAAATGTAGACATTAAGCTTGCTATTAGCAGTAAACAATGTTGTTCTGATAAATTGACTTGCTATTACCCTCTCTCTATCTTTACAATTCAGGTGTTGTGTGGCAGTCCATTTTAAAAACATACTTAAATATTTCTATTTTTTTTGTTTTGTTTCAGACATTAAGGAATTGATAGCTGAAGTCAAAACAGAGTAAGCTTACCTTTTTTCTAATCTCTGCATTTAAGGTTTCAAACCTCATTTGGTTTAAAATAAAAAGACCTGATTAACAAAATAACAATGTTACTGTAAAACTTTTGTTATATCTCTGTCCAGTTAAAATAATGATCTCACAGCCGATTGAAACTTCAGTTATTCTGTTTTAATAAAATACAGATTAAACTGCTGTATTTTTGTGTATTTTTTATAATTTAGGTTCATATTTGAAAATTAACGTATCCTAAAATTTCTATATAATTTAAAAACACTGATATAGAAAAAATTACAGATAATATGTAGTTGCTTCAAATAATGGCTAACATCAGTGGTGTAGGCAGGACTTCGGTATGGATTCCAAAATTTTTTAAGAACCTAAAGCAGTTTTTACGATGTTCGAAATTTTGAAACTTAAAGCTTTGGAAGAGATATAGGTGTGCCTCACCCAGAGGCATAGCGAGGGGGGGTTGGGGGGGGGGGGTGGGGGGTGCGGACTGCACCGGGTGACACCATTTAGAGGGGTGACACCAAGGAAAAAAATAGCAAAATATATAGAAAATAACTTGAAGGGGGGTGCAAATAGAAAGTTTGAGGGGGGGTGCAAATAAAAAATTTGAAAGTTTGTCCCCGGGAAGGGTCGCTATGCCTCTGGGGGGTGACACCATTAAGTGCCGCACCGGGTGACACCCGACCTCGCTACGCCACTGGCCTCACTAATACCTGTAGTGTCTTAACAAAAGACAGCAGTCATTTTTAATGTACAAACCATCCTGTACCTATCCACTGGATGGTGTTACAGTGAATTTTTATATACCTTTTCAGTTAAATGCCAACTACTTTCTCAGTTAAATGCCAACTACCTTTTCTTTATCAGAACAATGACATCAAACATCAACAAAAATTTCAGTGTCAAATTTTTTTTTTTTTACAGCTATTTAAACTATCTTGTTTCAGACCCCTGCCCTATGATGAGAGTTCACTCCCCTTTCTTGATATCAAGCTAAAAGAAGAGTTGGTAAGTGGTCTTAAGATTTTTAAGCCGATGCCCTGCCCCCTGTCTCATCTTACTGTCTACAAAAGACAAGTCTTTCAAATAATAATTTGACAAAAAAAAACCCCACCTATTCATCCCTTCTTTACCTATTTTTTTCAACTCAGTATCCATTTCTGATTATATGTGATGAGCATTTATTTTTTAATCTGCTGAATAAAATACATTGTCAACACATCCAAGTTTATTTTCAATAAAATATTATTTAAAAATATGTAATTTGTAAGCGATGTAAAAAAATAGCCCCAAAAAATAAGTGACAGGAAAACATTAACGTCAAAACATGAGAGTTAGAGATAAAATTTTTGTCCTTTTCATTTTATTTAGCTCCTGGTGGATGTAAACTTTAGACAGGTGTATTCAGGCATTGCAAGCCTGAGCAAACTTGCTGTATATATCGCATAGGTAGGGAGCAGAGGGGTTTGCATTAGATGCTATTTTAGTTTCACTAAATTGGCGGCTGTAATGTGCAGTGAAGTTTCACTTGATATGCTTCCATCCAAGCCAGATAACTCTGTCTGATGTTTTAACTCCCCTGAACTGGTATCTTATTTAATAATTGTAGTCCCTTTTACTCACTAAACACACTATCTTTTGGTGCACACCTATTAGGAGATCTTGTTTATCTCCCCTGTTGTCTTACCTTTATGGTTGTGCCCCTTACAGCAGTGGTGTACCTGTCTTCAGACAACCCCCCCCCCTGTTTATCTGCCTTAAGGTACCTCACTGTTCATCTCCCCTGCTGTCTTAACTTTATGGTTGTGCCCCTTGCGTCAATGGTGTACCTCTGTTTTCAGACCACCTCACTGTTTATCTCCCCTGCTGTCTTACTTTTATAGTTGCTGTCCCTTACATCAATGGTGTACCTATGTCTTAAGGTACCTAGCTGCTTATCTCCCATGCTGTCTTACCTTTATGGTTGCTGCCCCTTATGTCAATGGTGTACCTCTGTCTTTAGACAACCCCATGTTTATCTCCCTTGCTGTCTTACCTTTATGGTTGTGCCCCTTACGTCAATGGTGTACCTCTGTGTTCAGACACCTACCTGTTTATCTCCCCTGGTGTCTTACCTTTATGGTTGAGGCCCCTTACAGCAGTTGTGCACCTATGTCTTCAGGTACCTTCTTGTTTGTTTACCTGTCTTGTATAGACAAAGATGATCTGCACCTTGTCAGATTTTGGGAATACCCATCTGGTCTTGGTTTTAAAAAAAAAAGTTGTCCAAAGAATGTTTCCTTGAGCCAGGTTGATGCTGTTTAATATACTTTAAACAAAAAATTCAGATAAAAAAGTTGTCCAAAGAATGTTTTCATGAGCCAGGTTGATGCTGTTTAATATACTTTAAACAAAAAATTCAGATAAAAAAGTTGACCAAGAATGTTTCCTTGTGCCATGTATGTTATTTAATATAGGGCCTAATTTACAAAGAAATTTGAACCATTCAAATTATGGAAAAAATGTTGGGGTAGAATAGTGTTCGATGTTATAGAGTTTATAGTAGATCTAATAGTATAAAATCGAATTAGTAATGTAGTCTATGTATTGTATAAAATGTTAACTGGGCAGTACAAAATGATAAAATAGCTTCTTGCTCATTCTGAATTAAAATTAAGCTTTCACCCATTTTCTTGACTTTCTATGTTAAATCTGATGTTGAATCAACGAAAATTGACTCTTTACCTTTAAAATAGACAAGTCAGCTTGACTTCAGGAAATGTATATCTGCCCCATTAAAGTCTCACCTATTTAAATGTGATGTGGTGTACTAAAATAAAGTGGGGCAGGTGAAGTAGAATTCACATGTTCTGTGACCTTGGCGTATGAAGGGATAGTGTGGTCAGCACTATGTCCAGCCACCTTTACTTTCCCTATCGTGAGTTATGTCCCCATCAGAGCTGGGTGGATTCAATCACGGTCTATTGACTTGAACCCGGTTTCGAGCTTGAGACTTTAGGGTTAGCAGTCGAGCGCTCTACCGCTAAGCCACGCTATCCCATGGTGTACTCAAGAGATGTGTTTTTCCCGATAGTTTAGTCAAAGATACAACCCTTATTATTAAGTACCAAAGAACCTCCTTTGTTAGATTTGATACACTATCCCCAATCTTTTAAGCAGAAATATAACTTTCGTCTAAAATACCAAAGGACCTCTTTTGTTAGCTTTGATTTGTTTTAGTTCAACCACCACATGAGCAGTTATTGTTTCATTTGTCTTTTCATTTTAAACTTGATTTGTATACAAATTATTCTCGGTTTCATTTCATTATCTATTTGTAAACATTACACAGACTGTCATTTTCTTTTACATTGTTTTTGCACCTTGGTGATAAACATTAGTCAAGACTAGATCTGAACTCTGAACTCTGTAGGTTTATTTAAAGACTGTTCCAGCCTTTAAAAATAGTTTTTTCTCCTGAATGATTAGATCTACACTCCAATGTTGTTTTGGTGTTTAATTTGTTTACACGTGCGGTTGGGTAATTTAGACGACCCCACCGTGGCTGGTTATTGTTTACGATTCTTGAGTACGTGTAAGAACGCCCGCGGGGGGGGGGGGTATCGAATCAATTTCGAATTGCTAGTATCGCTGCACTGGCTCTTCACCTGACCCAAGCGCTTCATCTTATCCGTGCAGTGATACATGTAGAGAAAAAAAATGGCTCGATACGATACTGTACAAGAAAATAGGAAAACATTTTGCACACCCCTCCCCATGACAGAATCCTGGCCTACGCTACTTCAAGTTACAATTCTTATAAGTATTAGTCTTTTAAAGCTACGGTCAGTAACCCTCTGTTTGGTACTAACTTTAAGTCCTAAACGTAAACCACAAACAGCCCTAATCCAAATCGATTCATAAAGTTTAATGTACGCTTAATGTACATTACAATCGTGGCCAGTGGTTCTTAACTTTTTTTAAAGTACCGGACCCCACCATTTTTATATGCGCATTCAACAAACCCTTCTTAATAGTTCTATCGTCCGTACCGACTAAATACGATCGTGAATTATGAGTCGGGTGTGTGTGTTTTAACCTCCGTCGAGCCCCTGAGACACACCGAACCCCTGGGGTTCGATCAAATATAGGTTAAGAACCACTGACATATACTAAAATCATCATATGTGGTTGGGCTAATCGATGTAAAAGGTGTATACGTTGTATATATATAGTATAGAGTCTTGAGTTTACTTTGTGTACGGTGAAGAGAGTGAGAAACATTTCCTTCTGTTTCTTGTCAACGTCCGTGCCAGGGGACAAATATAGAACCTCCCTCCCTCCCTCCCTCCCCACCTCCTTCCTTTATCAGCCTCGCTCTTTAACCTCCAACCCCCACCCCAGTTCACACTGACCTTGACAATCAACGTAAATAACAGGGAGATAATCTTTGCTTACTGCCTTGATTAGATTAACCCTACCCCCTCAGAGATTAAGTAGCTGCCGGCTCGGGGTATTATGAGTAAGTCGTCACCACAAGATTCCCACGTTCGTTGTTTATTTTCGCTTATAAAGATAGTCTTTGCTGCAGATTGTTGATGTCTTTTCTTGGATTAAAAGATTAATTAGAACCCTAACACGGTAGTTGTGATTAAACGAAAAACGGTTATTAGGTAAAGGGGCAATAGTGGTCATTGTCACAAGTCAGGTTAGTAATAGTGAGGCCATTAACTACAGAGACAGCTGAAGAGCTCTATGGGTCGATGACATCCCATAGGCATGTCATCCACACCAAGCCGCCCACATCAAGCCACCCCACACCAAGCCACCCCACACCAAGCCACCCCACACCAAGCCACCCCACACCACGCCACACAAAGCCACTCCACACCACGCCAACCCACACAGAGCCACCCACACCAAGGCACCCCACATCAAGCCACCCCACACAAAGCCACCCACACCAAGGCACCCCACATCAAGCCACCCACACAGAGCCACCCACACAGAGCCACCCACACCAAGCCACCCACACCAAGCCACCCCACACCAAGCCACCCACACAGAGCCACCCACACAAAGCCACCCCACACAAAGCCACCCACACCAAGCCACCCCACATCAAGCCACCCACACCAAGCCACCCCACACTAAGCCACCCACACAAAGCCACCCCACACCAAGCCACACAAAGCCACCCACACCAAGCCACCCCATACCAAGCCACCCACACCAAGCCACCCCACACCAAGCCATCTCACATCAAGCCACCCACACAAAGCCACCCCACACAAAGCCACCCCACACCAAGCCACCCCACATCAAGCCACCCACACCAAGCCACCCCACACCAAGCCATCTCACATCAAGCCACCCACACAAAGCCACCCCACACAAAGCCACCCCACACCAAGCCACCTCACATCAAGCCACCCCACACCAAGCCACACCACACCAAGCCACCCCACACCAAGCCACCCCACATCAAGCCACCCCACACCAAGCCACCCCACATCAAGCCACCCCACACCAAGCCACCCCACATCAAGCCACCCCACACCAAGCCACCCCACACCACGCCACACAAAGCCACTCCACACCAAGCCACCCACACCAAGCCATCTCACATCAAGCCACCCCACACAAGCCACCCCACATCAAGCCACCCCACATCAAGCCACCCCACATCAAGCTACCCACACAGAGCCACCCACACCAAGCCACCCCACACCATCCACCCCACACCAAACCACCCCACACCAAACCACCCCACATCAAGCCACCCCACACAGAGCCACCCACCACATAGTCACCCTCAGTCTGAGGGGTTTTAATCGTTTTAATTAATTAAACAGTGTTTGTTAAAAATTTTAACTGTTATGAAGTACGTTTACAACCCAGATGCTACTAAAGGGTACAAGATTCCTAAACTGTTCAATTTTTGTCTTGTTGTCGTTTCATGTACACTTTGTTTTGATAGTCTTTATTGTCTATGTATAGTTGTATAGGGCTAGGGTACAGTTCTCTTA